CCCGGGGTTTCTGACGCTGTCACTGTTTCTTTCTGTGTAAGAACAGCGACAAACTGAGATGTGGTGGAGGGGCTGGCTTCCAGCTCCCCAGGGATGTGGGTGAGGGAGAGGGATACGAACTGAAACATTTTGCTTCTCTGCAAACTCTCACATTTCCCCCATCCATCCTAATTTGCAACTTTCATCTTTTCTCCATCCATCCTAATCTGAATCCCACGTACCTCTTCAAGCAGTGTTTTCATGCTTTCTACCCAGGCTTTCATTTCAGGCATCTCTCCTATTCAAACACAGTGTCTAGCCCTAAAGTGTGACTGGCTTTCCTAGTCTCCACCTATAATAAAAATGAGCCTGGCTCATCAGTAATAATGATGGCAACCTCTTTTCAGGTTTATTACTCAAAATGCACTTACTGTGAAAAAAAATCTTCTTCTGGTTTTACGTGTATAATAAATATCCAAACCAGTGTGGACGACCAGATTTCAGTACTGGCTGACAGCGAGGACCATCACTCCTGCATCCATCCTGCGCACAGCCCAGCTCCGCGGGAAACTGGTACGCAGCCCTGGCCCAGCTCCACAAGAAGCTGGGACGCAGCCATGGCTGAGCTATATAGGGAGCTGGTAAGCAGGGAGCTGGGGTGCAGAAATGTGCACAAAGGTAGCAAGAAGCAATCTGGACATGCAAGATCTCACTGGTCCATCCCCTCCCTGCCCTGCTAGAAAAAAAGGAAAAAAAAAATCATCACATGGCAGAAGCCTCTGCGGCAAGACCTGCGCCACTGGCAGAGGTTTTCAGGCTGGATGCTGGAAATAAGATTTGGGAAATACAACAGGAACAAGGGAAGAGAAAGGAGGGCACGTGCACACTCATCAGTTCCCGAAAGGAGCGAGGTTGAAGCAAAAATCTTCCTGACAACCTCCAAGAAGCTGCTGAAGCATGAACGTAGCAGCTCATTGAGAGGCAGGGTTGATTGCCTGCACCGCACTTAGAGGCTTCGGGTTCAAAAAACACAGGAGAAACCTCAAAGCGCCATGTGAAATTATAGGGGACACAGGCAGAGAGGGGAAGGAGACGGGAATCTGTGGTGTTAACCCTTAACCGTGACAAGCAGCAAAATGTTCAAATGTTAATTTAGAGCCCAGAGCTGAAGGGCTCGCACCTTGCTGCCCACTGAAGCCTTTGCCTGCAGCGAAGGGACATAATCAAATTACGGGAGGCTGATAAGCACTGGCAATAAAATATCCCCCGAAGTACACAGGGCTGTGGAGTGTTGCTTAATAAACCGTAAAATTTCTTTCACTCTCACCTGTTTTTTTGCAGGTGGCTGTTCATTTTCCTTTTGGAAGCGATAGTAAATGCCAGATTGGTTTGTCAGTGATGTATGCAAATTTTTTACTTATCCTTAGAAATTTTAACTGTCCCTACCTCCAAATACTCTGTCCTCTCTTCAATTTCTTTGAGAAAAGAGTACGTTTTAGAAAAGATAGCCAGTCTGGCTTTCGTTTTCCCGTCGCATGTGTATTTGTGTGCGTGCACGGGCACGCGCGTGCGATACAGTAGTGCTAGAGCAGGTGTTACTTGATGATGTGTTGACAGTGAAATTAATGTTTATTCTCAGAGCAGTCATTGTGCATCAGGTTCATGCATTATCCTGGAACAAGGACAGTTTCTTTCTCTAAACCATCCTGCAGGCACGTTTGTGTGGAGCTCGAAGATGAATTCTGTAATAATCACCAGCCCCAGTGTCTGGCACAACCCAGCTTCAGCCACGGGCACGTCACACACCTTTCATCTGAAGCAAACAGGTAAAAATTAACGCTTAAGTCATCTCCTAGGGCTGCCATGTGACACAGCTGGTAACACATACACTTAACTTTGTAAAATCAAATCCATATTAAGTCCTTTAATAACGCAATGATTTTATAATATAACTATTAATGACAAGCATCATCTTATTTTTATGTATTCTGAAGTTACAGCAGTTACACTAGTGACACTAAATCATCTTAAGCATGCGACCAAAGAAATCGCTGTAAAGAACCACAGATACTTCGAGCTGTACAGAGGACTTGACCACTTCAGATTCCTGTGTTCCCTTGCCTGTCCTCAGTCCCTCTGTCCGTGGCAGTATTTATAGTCTGCGGTCACATGCTGAGGAAACTTGGACAGTATAAAGGCACAAGAATAACTATAAAAGAACCAAAAATGAGCACCCTGGAGTAGCAACAATAAGAAAACCAGAAGGCTTTTGGAAAGCAGTGCATTTTATTCCCACATCTCATTCTGCAGTCTTCCGCTGATGCTATTAAAATACCTCAGCACGAGGCAATATTTTTATTTTATTGTGCGACAGTCTCTTTTACTGAAAAAGTGGATTGCATTTGCCAAATTCCCGCTTTCACTTAGGGAATTTACAGGTATAAACAGAGTACAATATAATCACGGTTCGACTATACATGCAAATGTACGACACCGTAACAGCAGCTTTTTTAACAGTCAAAACTGTTCGAATTTCCGCACGTTTCTACTAACACTTCAACAACAGTAAGCGGCAAAACATTGAACTCTCCCAGGAAAAAGTCCTGCAACGAGAGCCCAGGGGGAGAGCTTTCTTCAGCACGTGCCAAACACGGAGTGTACGCGATGGGATCTAAGACTGGCATCCAGGTGGTAAAAAGATCCGCATTTCTTGTGGACACAAAAGACTGAGCACAGCGAGGACAGATCAGAAATGCAGGTTTCTCTTCAGCCATCTGTATGATCGCAGTGCAGTTCAATATCGTAACGAGTTCAGTAATACAGCAACTGTAAGTCATAGGCACAAACTTCTTTAGGATGCACTTGAAAAACTAACAAAACCCTTATTATATTAGCCTTTAAACAATAAATAGTGCGCTTTTTTTGGCAAAAGATGCTGTATGGAGCTTGAGCAGAAAGTAAACCTTGTTATTTTGGCATATAGCCAGACTCTCTCGATACTCACAAGCTATACATAACGTGTGATGTACAGATCTCCATGCCCCGTCCCCCAGCTCAGCAGCTACAGACTTTTAGCCTCCACGTCTTTATAGCTGGCTCTTTCAAAATTCATGGGGGACGCCAGGTCACCCAACTTCTGCGCTCACTCAAAAAACATACCGTCGCACCCGATGCCCCTGCCTGCATTTATTGACAAGATCCTAAAGCTCCCCCAGAGATCAGTTTTGCAAATATTCCCTGTTGGGTAAATTGCTCATTTTGGATTTCAGTGCTGGACGTGCTGTGAGGTTAATGCTGCCTGCTTGGCTGGACAAGGCATTGGGCTAGGCACTGCTGAATTAGGGCTGTGGGGATAATTGATTTTCAGTTCAGTGGCTTAATAACTAATTATAACAACAATAATAACCACAACAACAATAAACAACTCGGTTAATTTTTTTTCAGGAGATGATAACAACTTGTTTCAGCCTGTGGTCAAGATGGCCCGACGGCTGGGGGCACCCTTTTCGGATGAGGAAGACTCAGAGTCAAATCTGTTCTCTACCTACTTCTGAGTGAAGGTTTGACCCAAGGACCCCCACCTACCGAAAGGGTATCCCCAAACTAAGAAACACTCAAACATTTGTTTCCCCAGTCTTCCCCGCTAAACATATGTGGCACAAAATATTGGCATATTCAGTAGAGGCTCCGCCAGAGTCCCCGCTGCCCGCTTCCCCCTTCCCACCGGGGGATCTGAGCGGCCGGGGTGGAGAGGCGGCCCTGCCCCTCGCAGCCCACGGGGACACAGCCTGGGCACAGGGGAGCAGCTTCCACCAAACCCATGGACTTTTCGGGGCCGAGTGTGCTGAGCATCCTGGCCCGCGGGCGCTCGGCCGTGGGATCTGCCGGAGCACGATGCAGCTCCCTGCCCGCCGCCCTGTCTGCGCTTTCTTCTGCCGGACACCACAGCGTGGGGACAGCGGGGGCCGATACGCACCAAGTCCTGACACAGGTGGCCAGGACATAGCAAAACTGGCCTGCAAAAGCACCCAGGCGAGATGGTGTCCCCAGTTCTGCTGTCAGCCTGGGCTTCTGGGAGAGGGAGGTGGAGAGAATGCCTAGCTTGCAGTCCAGGCTCCGATTCACCCAACTTTAGGTTACAAGGAGGGGATAGCACGAGGCACACGCTCCCTCCCTAAGTTTTTTTATAGCCCTGCCAAATCAAATCAATACGTACCAACATTTCCAAACTCTTTTATTTGGGTCAAGCTACTATTCCCAATGCTACATGTAGTTAAAGCTCATAGAAGAACATCCTTCTTTTGCTAACCAAAGCTTCTCAAAAGTTCAGATTTGGTTCTGCTTTCGCGTACACCACCGCAAGACAAAAGTATTTCTACTGCAGACACAAACCACCCAGTGTAAACCAGGTCAAAGAATTAGGGAGACTTTCAATTTTTCGGTTAAGAGGGTGATTTTACACCAATGTAATTGAAGTGGCACAACCTCCAGCTCTGATGCAATTGCACTGACACAGAGGAGCACATAAAAGTACAGTTAATGGGAGCTTATACATTGTAGGACTATATTTATATACAGTACCTATAATTGGACGGATACAGATACGGAAGCGTATCGACAGAGCCTCCGAATGGTGTTAAAATCACAAGGCTCCAGACACAAGCTAAGCTACAGGCCACCGCCGTGTCCCTGGCCCTGCCGACTGACTCAATGGTACTGATGTCCCTCATGGCCCAGGCTGCTGGGCAAGCACCCCGCGGCTTCCCACTGCCCACCTCTGGGTCCACAGCGGAGGACTCGGCACCTTTAGCTGTGGTGGGTCTAAAGTGATGTACTGAAAGCAGCTGAAAGCAAGCCCGAAGCACGGGCAAACGCTGACCTTTCGCTTTTTGACAATGAGGTAAAGTCATTCTGCATGATTTGGATTTGTCAGCATCGATGTGGAAATTTATGCTCTGCCTTTCCCCCTGTACAGAGAACCAGGTGTCTGTCCTCAAGCAATAGGTTTGCAAACCTGTTTTTTAAGGGTTTGGTAGCTCTTCATTTTCTATCAAATAATCCTTCTTTATATAATTAGCACCCCTCACCAACCTCCATACTCCAAGATAGGCATCCTTCAGCAAGCTCCTGTTCACTTCTGGTGTGCCGGTGGCTTTTCCCTGGACCGTCGGTCCCTTGGCAGGTTTCTCGGTGCCGTCCTTCTCTCCCTCTCCGCTCTGGCTGTCCCCCGTGGCTGATCCTTCCACTGCTGCTTCCTCAGTCCCCTTCTCCTGGGAAATCGCTTCCATCGCAAACAGTGCTTGGTCCCCAGCCTGCCTTTTCTCCTCCTCTTCTCTAGCTTCTTTCTCCAGGTCCTCGTAATTGCTCTGCCGTCTGGTCTCAATGTACTTGGCCACGCAGTAAATGATAGACCCTAAGGTGTTGACCACAACACCGGCTATAAATAACTTTGTGGGCTCCACATCATTGAATGCCACCATGCCCACCGTGATGGTTGCTATGCTCTTCACCACCCCTACGAAGCTGGTGGTCACAGCCGAGTTAATGTAAGTGCAGTGAAGGGTGGTAAAGTTCATGGCACAGCTAATTAGGACGCAAGCGATAAAGATGCATACCATGGCAGGGTCCTTCCACCCCGGGAAGGACCAGACGTTGATGGAATCCATGCTGGCAAAGGAGAAGATGATGAGAAAAGGGGTGGCCGAAACAGCGATGGCGTACTGAGCTGTCAGGGGTCCATATTCACTGTCTACGCTGGTCTTCTGAATGAGCACCAGGTAAGCAGCGTGTATCAGCACGGCCAGCACGCCTGTCACATAGCCCATAGCATCCCCGGTCAGGTCACCAGCTCCTGTCGGGAAAGTCACGGAAAGAAAGAAGCACGGCTTTTGTATGTGAGACAGAAAGAGAGCACTGTTTGGGACTGGGGGGACATTTAGGAAATAGGTACCAGTGCACTTCCCATAACTCCTAGGACTTGTCATATTCGTCCCAAGGCCGGACACACTTACCTCGAAAACATTTTTTTTTTTTTTTGCATGCTGCAAAGCTATTGAATGTCTTTCCCCCTAAATCCCGCAGCCAAAATCAGATTGCGTTCTCCCTTTTTTGAAGACGCTATGGGAGATTTGCAGCCGAAACCACACATACACACAGCAACCCCCTGGGCACCCTCTTGCCAGCGCCGGCGCGTCTCAGCTCC